CCTACTAGTGAAGTAGTGAGTTATGAAATTGTTCTCATTGAAGTTTTTCTGCGATTTTTCAAGTAAATTAATGTCTGTCAAAATAGAAAATGTGATTAGAAAAGCGATCATTAATTGACACGTTTGGTATAACGATTACACGTGAAGGAAGAAGACGAAAAAGAGATTGGTTAACCAAAACACTGGTCACTTGGAAGCGGACCAGGAACCGAACCGTTATTCAAGAACTGAAGACCAAACACCACAAGAATGGCTAGAACCGACAGGTAAGACAAGCCTTCGACCGCACCCAACAAACCAAACGGCCCATTTGGTAGACCAGACCCGGTTTTTGTCTTGGTGTAAAGAGACCAACCCACGATTCCCACCACCACCAAGTAGCTCACACCTTCCAATGCTCCGATTGAACCGGCCGGTCCTGGAGGTAAACCACATCCTGTGGTCTTTAGAGTGTAGAGTGACCATCCAATAACCGGGGTCGACACTAAACCACCGGCTATAGCCGCCGTCTCCAGAAACCCGCCAGTGTCGGTATTGTCCTTAGCCTTTGCTACCACTCTACCTGCCGGTTTAATTGATCGCCGGATTAGTTTTCTCCGGTGAAAGGACGGTGGTAGAGAGGTTGAGATCGGAGATAGTACAAGCATTTTAAGAGAGAAAGATTGGATTATGAACTTACCTGTAAAACCACACAAAGCCTCTAGTGTTAAAAGGAAAAGATAACATAACACATGAGCCGAAAAAAAAAACGCAGATTAAATGGGCTCAGATTGGGATATAGATATTTCGGCCCAATAATGTCCATGCGTATTATTTGGATCATCATTTAAACTTTTGTTTTTTACCTTATCTCTATTAATTTCTCTTTTCGTAAACGTATGTACTCACAAGTCACAACTCTTAAAACTCTACAAGTTTACTAACACAATGTATAATAATATTATATGAGTATATACTATTATTTGATTTCTTTAATTTGATTATCAGATAGTGGCAGAAACTTTTTATTTGTTGGAATGGAATTGAAAAGTTGGCTAATAGAGTTTTTGGAATTTTTTTTTTTTAACAATGTTTTTGGAATCTTGAGAGACTGATTCACACTTAAAGTAATAAAAAAAAGA